TTGAGTTGAGGGCTTTGCTTTCTTGCTATGATCTTGAGGGAATGAAATAAAAGAAAGAACAAAAAGAAATAAAAAGATCATATAATGATCTTATGGAGAGTTATAACTTCACGTATAAAGAGTATGATGAATAAAATTTGTTGAGGCTTGACAAACATAGTTTTGGTCATTGCTGCAATTAATAGGAAGTAATAAATAAAGAGAGGCTTCGCATATAAATATAATATCTTGGGCATCTTTTGTAATTGTGAGCATTCATTAAAATATGACTTGCCAAAAGGTTGATGTTGGACAAGGAAGACAAAATAATGGGTTGTGTTTTCTTATATCCAAATAGAAGTTATATTGTCATGGATCCTCCAACATGTTGAGTGTGCCTTTCTCTCTCTTATGCTAGCCAAATCCTTTGCACCAAGTAGAGATACTACTTGTGCTTCCAAACTTTCCTTAAACCAGTTTTGCCATGAGAGTGCACCATACCTACCTATGGATTGAGTAAGATCCTTCAAGTAAGTTGTCATCGGTGCAAGCAATAAAAATTGCTCTCTAAATATGTATGATCTATTAGTGTGAAGAAAATAAGCTTTATACGAACTTGTGATATGGAAGAAATAAAAGTGACAGACTGGATAATAAAGTTCTTTATCACAAGCGGCAATATAAAGTGACATTATTTTACATTAAGATTTTGTGCATCCAACCATAAAAGCGCATGACAACCTCTGCTTCCCTCTGCGAAGGGCCTATCTGTTACTTTTATTTTCTACCCTTATACAAGAATCATGGTGATCTTCACCTTTCATTTTTATACTTTTTCTTTTTGGCAAGCACTATGTGTTGGAGAAAGATCCAATATATATATATATATATATATATATATATATATATATATATATATATATCCACTCGGATGTAGGTTATCATAAAGTATTATTGCTGACATTACCCTTGAGGTAAAAGCTTGGGAGGTGAAACTATAGGCCCCTATCTTTCTCTGTGTCCGATTGAGGCTTTGAACCCATAAGTATCACATGAGTGTTAGCAATTGTGAAAGAATAAATGATAGTTGAGTATGTGGACTTGCAGAAAAACTCTTGAATTGACTCATCCCTATGTTATGATAAATTGCAATCGCTTCGGTGACTGAGATCATAGTTTGTTAGTTTTCAATGAAGTTTCTGATTCATACTTTACCTTGTGAATGAATTGTTACTTTAGCATGAGAAATTATATGACAATATATGTTGTTGTTCTAAAGATGATCATGGTGCCCTCATGTCCGTATTTTATTTTATCGACACCTCTATCTCTAAACTTGTGGACATATTTTTTGATATCGACTTTCGCTTGAGGATAAGCAAGGTCTAAGCTTGGGGGAGTTGATACGTCCATTTTGCATCATGCTTTTATATTGATATTTATTGCATTATGGGTTGTTATTACACACTATGGCACAATACTTATGCCTTTTCTCTCTTATTTTATAAGATTTACATGAAGAGGGAGAATGCCGGCAGGTGGAATTCTGGACTAGTAAAGGAGCAAATCCGACAGACCTATTCTGCACAACTCCAAAAGTCCTAAAACTTCATGGAGAATTATTTTGGAATATATAAAAAATATTGGGCGAAGAAAGCACCAAAGGGGACCCACCAGGCATCCACAAGGGTGGAACCCCTGGCAGGCCTCCGGTGCCCATTTTCTGCTATATGATGTGTTTTGACCTGAAAAAAATGAAGAAAAAGCTTTTGGGATGAGGCGCCACCGTCTCGAGGCGGAACTTGAGCAGAACCAATCAAGGGCTCCAGTGGAGCTGTTCTGCCGGGGAAACTTCCCTCTGGGAGGGGGAAATCGAAGCCATCATCATCACCAACGATCCTCTCATCACGAGGGGGTCGATCTCCATCAAAATCTTCACCGGCACCATCTCCTCGCAAACCCTAGCTCATCTCTTGTATCTGATCTTTGTCTCAAAACTTCAGATTGGTACCTGCGGGTTGCTAGTAGTGTTGATTAATCCTTGTAGTTGATGCTAGTTGGTTTATTCGGCGGAAGATCATATGTTCGGATCCTTAATGATAATTATTACTCCTATGATTATGAACATGAATATGCTTTGTGAGTAGTTACGTTTGTTCCTGGGGACATGGGAGAAGTCTTGTTATGAGTAATCATGTGAATTTGGTATTCGTTCGATATTTTGATGAGATGTATGTTGTCTCTCCTCTAGTGGTGTTATGTGAACGTCGACTACATGACACTTCACCATGATTTGGGCCTAGGGGAAGGCATTGGGAAGTAATAAGTAGATGATGGGTTGCTAGAGTGACAGAATCTTAAACCCTAGTTTATGTGTTGCTTCGTAAGGGGCTGATTTGGATCCATATGTTTCATGCTATGGTTAGATTTATCTTAATTCTTCTTTCGTAGTTGCGGATGCTTGTGAGAGGGGTTAAGTGGGAGCCTTGTCCAAGTAAGGATAGCACCCAAGCATCGGTCCACCCACATGTCAAATTATCAAAGTAACGAACGTGAATCATATGAGCAAGATGAAAACTAACTTGACAACAATTACCATGTGTCCTCGGGAGCGCTTTGATTTATATAAGAGTTTTTCCAGGCTTGTCCTTTGCTACAAAAAGAATTGGGCCACCTTGCTGCACCTTAGTTACTTTTGTTACTTGCTACTCATTACGAATTATCTTATCACACAACTATCTGCTACAGATAATTTCAGTGCTTGCAGAGAATACCTTGCTGAAAACCGCTTGTCATTTCCTTCTGCTCCTCATTGGGTTCAACACTCTTACTTATTGAAAGGACTACGATAGATCCCCTATACTTGTGGGTCATCAACAATCTGTGGCAGGAGAGAGGCGGTGGACCTACATCTGAAATGTCTAGGCAAAAGGTGCTCCAGTGGATGCCATGGTCGCCTTGTTTGTGCGAGAGAGACGCGCGAGGAGTGGCGGCTAGGTTAGGAGTAGCCCATCTCCACACCTCGGGTTTCCTAAAGTATCGTGAAGCAAAGGGAACATCACATGGTAACCAAAGGTTCACCCGAATGTCATTCATGTAATCATAGGGATTGAATGGACGTCCATGGTTTCGCTATCGGTCATTGAGCGAAGGGGTTTCGTTCATGTCTATGATTTACCGAATCTAAGGGGTCACAAGCTTAAGGTATATAATCATGATCTTCTAAATGTTAGTAGGACGAGAGTATCGAGGATTTATTTGTGGAATTGTTTCATTAATATTCGAGATAGTTTCGAGAGGAACCGTGAGCATTTTGGGGTCATCGGAAGGGTTTCAGAGTTTATCAAGCTATACCGGATATTACCAATAAATAATATATAGGTGTAAAATGTTTCTAGAGATGTTAAATTGTATATAAAATGCTCCAATAATTGTTAGAAGGCTTTGATAGTTAATTTAATATCAACGAGCATTAAAAGGCCTAGTGGTGGAAGAAATATTGGGCCACCTTGGCCAAAAGGAAGTAGCGCCCCCCCCCCCCTTTCCTTGTGGGGGGCCGAATTAGAGTGGGGGAGGAGTCCAACTCCTCCCCCTTGGTTGGCGCCCCAAGGAAGGTCTTTCCCTCCTTGGTGGTTGCCCCTCCTGCCCCTCTAACCTATATATACTAGAGGATTTTGCCCTTTGGGACACACAAATTTTGGAGCCTCCTCTAGTTCATCTAGTTCTAGTTCTAGTTGGTCCTAGTTGACTAATTAGAGATAGACCTAGTTCCTCTAATACTCATAATTATAAGTCCAGTGTGTTTCTAATCTCCTCCCTCTAATTCTCCGTCGACGGTAGGTTTTGGACGGCGAAGCGCTGCCGGATTGTGAAGAACGTACGCTTGCAACCAAGTAGAGATGCCATGCTTTTGGTCTTCGGTTCGAGGGATCATTTGAGGGCAGTTTGTGGGATCATCATCAATGGTTCGAGGGACTCCAAGTATGATCTACACCAACTTGTCTACTTCCGATGCACTCCAGAGTCGGTAACGATCGTTGATCCAAATCCTATATGCATCTTCATATTGTTCCTGGTTGATCATAGGGCGATTTTTTTCCTACTACGTTTCCCAACAGTGGCATCATGAGTGGTTCTATGAGTAGATGTAGGTTTCGATCTAGATCACATGTGGATGTGAGGGTTTGATGTTCTTGTTATGCTTCTCTTGAGTGTTACTCCGGTTCAGTTCATTAACGGCATGATGTCGTTTTTACAAGGTTCCGACAATCAATCGGCTCTGGCTGTCGACGATCTGCTAACAGTTCCTTGGACTTCATCATAGTCAAGAATAGTGAACCCTAGCATACGCAAGAGGGCAATGAAGATGAACGATCTTCTAGGGTGTCACGCGTATTTGACGAAGTTTAGTGTGGGGGACGAGATTTTTAAATAAGTATCTTCTTTCACACACAACCAAAAGTTAATCTAGCAACAAGAATTATCGCCTTAATGTTGTGCGTAGGTAGCTAATGTTAGCCGGAAACCCTAGAGGCCACGTAATTAAAATTTGCCAAACCGATTAGAACATGTCTAACTTGGTTTTGCACGGTTGCATATGATGTGGTATAGCCTTCTTCCTACTAATGAGTTTATGTATGAGATGGTTATATGTTGTAATGTTAATTTTAGCAATGCTTCGCCTTGGTGCGTTTAGTTGGGCTACTACTTAGAATCGGCCGGTTTATATATATTTAATTTTAGAAAAAACTAAAAAACTTGCACATGCTATAATTAATTAACCATAACTCGGATCACAAAACTTTATGGCTTTGGATCGATTCTATGAGGAGACGGCGCCCCAGGACTCGCACTATGCCAGGGACTGGTAGTAGAAGTTAGTGGTAAAGTTACATCTTGAAGAATATGTCAATGTTCAAAAGGTCACTTATTTGTCAAATGGAGAGAGTACAAAGTAGTGAGGGATGTTGCTTCGCTACCCTTGCAAGTGTATCAACTCACAACGCTTAAGGAGCACACTTCTAAAGGCTCTTGAGCATGACATCCATATCTTGACGGGGTCGGCACACTGCAACTAGCTGCACAGACATGTGCATGGTGAGCCCGGAACCCTCGCTCATGTCCACCACCTTCTCTCCCACCCGTCCCCACTCGAAGCATTGCAACATCCCCGCCAAAGCTACTCCCACCATCCTCCAAGTGAGTCCCTCGCCGGGGCACTTTCGCCGACCCATCCCAAACGGCATCATCATTCGCTTTCCACCTTGTTCACAAACATTGCCACCCACGAACCTCTCTGGCATGAACATGTCTGGATCATCCCACGAGGCAGGGTCCCGTTGTATGGAGTACACGTCGACTAACACCATGGTTCCACGTGCAATGATGTATTGCCCACTAGTGACTGTGCAGTCACGCGACGCCTCATGCGGTACGAGGTTGGGTGCGAGAGGGTATAGTCGGAGGGTCTCAGTGATGATGCATCGGAGGTAAGGGAGCACTTCCAGGTCACTCTCCTGGATCAGGCGAGACGTGCCCACGACGGTGTCGATCTCAGTCTTCGCCTTGGCCAGCACGTCTGGGTTATTGAGCAGAAGTGCCATCGCCCACTCAATCGCGCTAGATGATGTGTCCGCTCCTGCTTGTAGCATGCTCTATGCACCAAAGTTGAAATAAGATTAGTAATTTCACAAATTTTACAAAACTGCAAAAATTATCTAACCAAGCAATTAGTTTTTTCTAGAAAAGAGGATGATCTCCGGCCTCTGCATCTGGGCGATGCATGCGGCCACTTTATTAATTATTCTCACAAGACCGTACAAAGCCATACAACAGTAAGACTAAAGCCACCGTCTAAGCAACAACTGTCGCTACACCTATCCAATCGATGAAGGGGCGCAGATAGTCTGTGCCTAATACCAAACAGACATCGCAGCCAAACCTAAACATCTAGGACCTGAGGTCCCAACCAGGACGCCTGCCGGGTATGGGGCACCTACCAGTCCGGCGCACTCCTCAACCAGAACGCCTGCCGGGTATGAGGCCGCCGCAGCCACCTGCCACCAATCCATCTTCAGAGTTGTATCGTTGCATGTACCGTGACAGGTCTCTCTGCCATCGACGCAACCACGACGCCCGACAGCGTCGTCCTACTGCGTGAGTCCATCCTCCCACAGCAAACTCCGAATCTGCACTGCGCCACGCCGTCAAGATCCGGCGCCATTAGAGTGTAGGATGAAGCACCGCTCCACCAAAGAATTCGTACTCTGGTCCCTCGATCATGTGTGTACCTCCAAGAATGACGCCCCCAAGGAAGGAACGACACCAGAGCCGCCGTCATCCGATCATCCGGTCTAGGGTTTCCCCCGGAAGTAGCAGAGAGTGGCCTTAAACTTCTCCACGGCAATGCCTTCAAGAAGGAAACGACGCAGATAGCGCCGCCACCGCCGGCCTTAGCAGGAGACGAAGGCAAGTTTTCACCCAGATCCGCTCGAAGGGATCCAACTCTCGTGCCCGGGCCGCCGTCACCACCAGTACCACCAGGCAAACCCTGGAGTACCGGCATATCAGCGAGCCGCCGGCACCACCGCATCCAGATCGTCGGCCACGCCGGGTCGCCGCCATCCCCCGCGCCGTCCGGGTCAGAGGTGGAGCCGCCGACCGCGCACAGGAACTGCCGCCGCCTGCACACGCCGGAGCGCCGTCGAGAGCCCGGCGGCCGCCACCGCCTGACGAAGCCAACCGCCCGAGCACTGGCGCCACCATGGAGCCATCAGATCGGCGAGGAAGACGCGCGCCGACCACCCTCGCGGACCCCGCCGCACGCCCGAGCACCGACGCCACCGCGGCGCCATCAGATCGGGACGAGGAGGAGCCCGCGCGCTCGCCACCCCGCGCAGACCACGCCGCTGCCACCAAGCAGGGGAGCCCCGCCCAGATCCGCCGGCGGCCCGACCTGCCACCGAGCCAAGCGCCACCGCGAGGGCCGGCCGTCCCGCCCCGCCCATGAGCCTCGCGATGGGGAAGGGAGCCCCGCCGCCGCCGAGGGAGAAGGAAGGCGAGAAAGGGGAGCGGCAGCGGCGATCTAGGGTTCCGCCCGGGCCGCTCGCGGGAGCGGCACGGGGGACGGGGGAATTACTCTACTGCCTGCTCCAAGTCGTGGTCTGTGGCAATTACTCTACTGCCTGCTCCCCACCTTAAAATGGGGAGATTTTCACTTCCCGGCATCTGCACCAACTAAAGATGCATACGGCCATTTTAGTATGAGTATCAAGATAAACATGGTCCTCAAAATTTTTTAAATGAGTATCAAGATATTTCTTGATGAGTGGTTCCACCACACATCAAGCTTGATCCTCAATAAACGGGAGAAAACCCCTGTGCATCACCTGTCAATTCCGAGAATTGAACTCGAGTCGTTGGATTGCACAACCACATACCCAACCACTGAGCCAAGGCTCTCTCTGCAACCAATCAATTAGTTGCATATCGTCAACTCAACTAGATCAATTAGCAATTTATATGTTAACAATAGTTGTGCTATACTAGCTAATTAGAGAAGTTTCATGATGAGTGGATCATAGCCATCGACATTAGTTTCTTGCTCGCTACAGCATACACTAGCTTATTGTCGTTCGACGTTAGCCAAGCAAATGGGCAATGTTATACACCGTACACGTCAGATTAATTACTTGTTCTCATTAACAAATTATTACAAGTGGCACACTCTGTGAACTAGAACTGCACCCACTTTTTAAAATTTGTATGATTGGTTTCACCGTGCTTAAACAAACGTACTGGATCACTGTCACCAGTTACTAATAATTTGCTAATTCACATTAATTAGTTAGTAGGTCTCCTTCCAGCCCACCCGCGATGAGATGCATGCTGGTAGCAGGTACGCTCACGTACACTACACAGCCGGCCGTGTCGTGTTCGAAAGAAAAAAAATCATTTAGTCAGTGTACCAACTACCTGACGCATGCGACTTTGGCGTATCAACTCACCATGCAGAGGGTGCGGATGACCACGTCGGGGTACGACTCCGGCGACCGCTCCTGCTGCTGGAGCACGTCGCCGAGCAACGTCCTGGGCGCCGACGACGTCTCCTCGCCACGGGGGTTGAGCCGCCTGTACTCGTCGATGAGCCGCTGGCCAAAGTCACGGCGCTCCTTGGCGATGCCGGCGAGACTTCTCCTCGTCCTCCCGAAATCCAGCAGCCGCAGCACCGGCAGGAAGTCCTGGAGGTTGGCCGATCCCGCCGCCGCTAAACCAGCCTCCGTCAACGCCATGAACCAGCGCACGTCCTCCTCCGCCATGCGCCTCCCAGAGACCATGGCCATGATCACGTTGACCACGAACTCGTACGCCGTCGCCCTCACGCTTACCGGCGTGGCGCCGGCGCCGGCTCCGCCGCGCTCGTAGAGGCGCTTTACCATGGCGCGTATCTCGGTCGCGCGCACGGCAGACGTCAGCGAGAGGCGGTGCGCGGAGAGCGCGTGCACGGTGACGATGCGGCGGAGGTCGCGCCAGAGAGAGCCGTAGTTAGACAAGGCGATGCTGGGGCACTCGTCCGTCAGGAGCCGCCGCGACGCGAGCCCGGGGCGATCCGCCATCGCGACGTCGTGGACGGTGAAGCACTCCTCGGCGATGGCCGCGGAGGAGACGAGGAGGACCGGCCGCGCGCCGAACCGAAGGCTGAGGAGACCAACGCCGTCGCGGCCACCGCCGTAGCGGGCAGCGAGCGCGGAGAGGGAGCGGTGCAGCGGCTTCTTGAGGAGGTGGAGGTGGCCGATGACGGGGAGGGCGGGAGGGCTTGGGATACTCTTGAGATGGCCATGTCCATTAAGGTCCTTGCGAGGAGAGGAGAAGAAATACAAGAGGAGGAGAAGAGAAGCTACAAGGAAGGCATGCGTGAGCGAAATCTCCATTTGTAAAGTACCTTTGTGCTTAGCATGGAGGAGCTCAACAATGTCTTGGTTTTCCTGAAGGCTTATGTAACCATGGACCACCCATGATTGATGCTTCGTTTTCATGGGAAACTCTTATTTTTATTGGAGTGTGTTGGGACTAATCCACTCCACAACTTCAGCCTATCCAAAGAAATTGGATAGTTACAGTTATTTCTTTTTCTTGCGGGTGGATAGTTACACTTCTTAAAATTGTCTAAAACTTAAGGTAAACGATTCTATACTCCCGACCGGCCAAGCGTTGTGCCGGTCGCCTCCCACGACGCACGCGCCTTCTGAGGCTCACACATCGCTTTCTACCTTTTCTGCCTCATCTCTTCACGAAACTGAAAGTGAGCATTTGAGCCAAAAGTTCATAAATTTCAAAAGAGCTCACGAACATAGAAAGTTTGAAAGTTAAAAAAACGTATGGATTTTGAAAAGAAATGCGGATTTGAAAAAAGTTCATACATCTTATCTTAAAAACAAAGTTTGTGAAATTAAGAAAAGTTTGCGGATTTTGAAAAAAATTCATGTATTCAAAAAGCTCATGGATTTGAAAAAGTTCGCCGGTTTGGAAAAAAGGTTCACTAATTTGTAGAAATTTCTCACATTTTTTTAAAATGTTCATAAATTTTTCAAAGAGTTCACAAATTAGAAAAAATACAAACTATGGATTAGAAAAATATTGAAAACATGAATTTGGAAAAAAGTTCACAAAAAATTAAAAAGTTTCACGTATTTGAAAACATATTGATTTAAGAAGATAAAATAAAAGAAGAAAAATGAAAAAAAACTGAACAAAACCCGGTCCAGAAAAGTCAAAAGAAGAACAAACCACACTAAAATTTTCCCAAAACTGGGTTGGGAAGATTCCCATAATTAGGAGTGCTTCCCGCGAAGTCGTGCCTTATAGGTTCGCCAAATACGATCAAAGAGGTGTGCACCTTGCATCGATATAATTAGAAGTGGTGCTATAAGAGTCAGCACGTCCTGAACCCGGGTACATACGAACCCGCTTTTTAAAATATATTCCAAATGCGTTTTGTAATGTCAAAAAATTCAAAACAAAATTTCGTGCATACATGTTTGCAAAAATATGCCCGCAGCACAAAGTTTTGTGAAAAAAGTATTTTTATTTTGTCTCCGCAAGAAAAATAGTGCTTCTAAATAGCGTTCCGCGACACAAAGTTTTTCCTTTGTTGCACAAGCCACAAAAGGAGTTGTTTTTACATGAAACTTTCTGCACGCACATAGAATATGAAGATGTACGTGTGCACCTTTTTCCAGAAATTTTTGGCATTTCAAAATGTATTTTCCAAAGTAGGTTCATATGTACCTGGATTCATTCATACACTTCCTGATACTATAAGCCTTAAATAGAAGATAACAACCTCGACTAGTTGGGCGGGAACGCCTCGAGTAGTTGCCACCTACGGGCGGCAAATAGGATTGGCCACAAGTGGCATCTT